TGATTTCCTATTTCAAACTGACCACGCTAGACATGAGAGCACATCCATCCAAGTGTGGTCAGTTTCAGGCTTTTTAGGCTGTGCTTTGAGCACAGTGTGCCAGTCCACCAATGGCCAAAACCAATGGAATATCTGTGTATTGCTCTTTCTTTGCTTCCTGCTAATACTATCCCTTCAGTTTTCACTCACAGCTCTTATACAGCTAAAAACAGAGGTTGATCACTTATAGAAAAAAAGAGGAAAATGAGTATTCACAATATATAGTATAGTATGTACTGTATATATATATATATATATATATATACTATATATTATGTATACTGTATATTATATATGGTAAGGGGGGTTTATTGCTTGGCACTTCTACCATTCAATGCATAAATACAAGGCATGCCCTTGATTGGTGCTCTGTTGAGATGATTGTGATGTTACCACTGCCCTTCTCATGGAGTTCCTGCACTGTAAGTATAGCCTTAAGTATTTTTTCACATTTAATCCTGTGTTGTGTAAAGTGATTATAAAGCTTCCGTTTTTTTTAAATTAAAACAACAAACATGGTATACTTACCTGCTCTGTGCAATGGTTTTGCACAAAGCAGCCCCGATCTTCCTCTTTTCGGGTCCACTGCCAGTGTTCCTGGCTCCTCCCCCTGCCGAGTGCTAGCTACAGGAAGCTACTTCCTGTAGTGGGCACTCCTATGGGCTCGCTCCTAAGCTGTTTATGTATATTCAGATACACAGCCTGGCTCAGCCCCACCCCTCCCCTCTCTGCTCATACATTTTGACTGACAGCAGCAAGAGCTAATGGCTCTCACTGCTCTCAGAAAAGCCTGTGAGATCCAGCAGAGGGGAGGAGCTGATGGAGATGTGCATAGTGCTAAACCGAAAACGGACTCAGGTGAGTATTTGGGGGGGCTACATTTAAAACATTTTTTACCTTAATGCAGAGAATTCATTAGGATAAAGAAACATTTACCTTTACAACCACTTTACTGTCTTTTGTAGTATCCCTTCTGCCTCCTGGGATATCCATGTACAGAAACACATCCCAGGAAGTAGTTTTGCTGATGGGTACACTCCATGAGATTCCATGTATGTGCAGATTTGGCAAAGGTTCTTTGCACCCTGCCAGTCCTTTGGCACATTTTGTATGGATGTTGCAAGTGTCAAGGACCCAGATACCAGCATGAGTACAGAAAATGTGCACAAATCGCAAACACATGAGTTTTGAGAGAGATTATGTTTACTCAGTGGTAATTTCTCTCAGCCTGCTGGCACTTAGGTTGTTGTCCTGCAACCTGAAAAATTTCTGCAGGGTGAAGCCAAGTGTGCCATTGTCACATATACTATATTACCAAAAGTATTGGAACGCCTGCCTTTACACGCACATGAAATTTAATGGCAGCCCTGTTTTAGTCCGTAGGGTTCAATATGGAGTTGGCCCACAAGGCTTAGGAGTGTGTCTATGGGAATGTTTGACCATTCTTCCAGAATCGCATTTTTGAGGTCAGGCACTAATGTCCGACAAGAAGGCCTGCTTGCAGTCTTCACTCAAATTCATCCCAGAGGTGTTCTTTCAGCTTGAGATCAGGACTGTGCAGGCCAGTCAAGTTCCTCCAACCCAAACTTGCTCATCCATGTCTTTATGGACTTTGCTTTGTGCACTGGTGCGCAGTCATGTTTGAACAGGAAGGGACCATCCCAAAACTGTTCCCACAAAGTTGTGAGCATGACATTGTCCAAAATTGGTGTGCTGACGCCTTAAGAGTTCCGTTCACTGGAACTAAGGGGCCAAGCTCAGCCCCTGAAAAACAACCCCACATCAAAATTCCACCCCCACCAAACTTTACACTTGGCACAATGCAGTCAGGCAAGTACCATTCTTTGGCAACCGCCAAACCTAGACACGTCCATCGGATTGCCAGACAGAGAAGCATGATTCGTCACTCCAGAACGCAAATGCACAATCCCAACGCACATGTTCCTGCCTTAAAAAATGGCTGTGTGTATAAGCAGGTGCTGCACCGACCATCGGCTGGAACTGAGAAGAATCAAAGGAGAAGAATGTCACCAGAGCAAAGAGAATCTCCAGTATAGGTCCAAAGCTTTAATAAGCAATCACATAGTTACAGCAAGAGCAATGTTTCGGAGCCTCTTGTGGGGTGCTTTGAGACTTCGAAACGTTTCTCTTGCTGTAACTATGTGATCGCTTTTTAAAGCTCTGGACCAGGGGCGGACTGACCATTTGGAAACTCGGGCACTGCCTGAGGGCCCGGAGTCAGTAGGGGGCCCCATGAGATGCCCCTGGTACCTTTTTCATAGGCTTTTTTGAGTTTGGGCAAGGACACAGAGGCCCCATGATCCCCTTTTGCCCGGGGGGCCCCATGAGTTGTCAGTCCACAGTGCAAACAAACCAAACCAAACCACCCACAGATAACAGTACATACAAGCAAGCGTCGTCAGGCAGGCCGGGTCAATATCAATAGGGCAGGTAGGTACAGGGGGAGCAAGCGGAGATTGGTCAGGGTCACAAGCCAGGGATCAGAACAGGTAGCAAGCAGCGTGGTACAGAGGGTCAGACAGAGGGATGGTCAGGAGCGAGCCGGGATCAGAGCAGGAGAAGTCAGCAGCGGTTCAGAAACAGGGATGCAGGACAGAAACAGGATGCAGGACAGAAACAGGATGCAGGGCCCAGGACAAACACACACCAAGGCAGAGTCTGTGGGTCTGGCCATCCCTTAAATACCCCAGCATAATCAGTTACAGGTGTTAGCTGGCTGCAAAGTTGAGTCTCTGATTGCTGGGAACACCCGCTGGCCAGCCCTAGTACTGCAGATCAAAAGGCAGGTGAGTCCCACCATAGCTGGCCAGTCCATTCCTGACAGTACCCCCCCCCCCTCAAGGAGCGGCCTCAGGACGCTCCAAACAGTCCTAGCTGGGAAAAATGTTCCACCGCCCGGGTCTGGTAACTGGCGGGATATCAAAGACTGGCACACCGGGCAGGACTCCGGGCAGCGGTACATCGGGCTGGACTCCGGGCAGAGGCACATCGGGCTGGACTCCGGGCAGAGGCACATCGGGCTGGACTCCGGGCAGAGGCACACCGGGCAGAGGCACACCGGGCAGAGGCACACCGGGCTGGACTCTCCAAGGCAGAGGCACATCGGGCTGGACTCCGGGCAGAGGCACATCGGGCAGAGGGCACTCGGGCAGGACTCCGGGCAGAGGCACATCGGGCAGGACTCCGGGCAGAGGCACATCGGGCAGGGCTCCGGGCAGAGGCACATCGGGCAGGACTCCGGGCAGAGGCACATCGGGCAGGACTCCGGGCAGAGGCACACCGGGCAGGGCACACCGGGCAGAGGCACATCGGGCAGGAGGGCACACGGGCAGAGGCACATCGGGCAGGACTCCGGGCAGAGGCACATCGGGCAGGACTCCGGGCAGAGGCACATCGGGCAGGGCCCCCGGGCAGAGGCACATCGGGCAGGACCCCGGGCAGAGGCACATCGGGCAGGGCCCCGGGCAGAGGCACATCGGGCTACCAGGCGAAGCAGCAGGCAGCGGGCCCCCGGGCGGGGCGACAGGCACCGGGCCCCCGGGCGGGGCGACAGGCACCGGGCCCCCGGGCGGGGCGACGGGGCACCGGACAGGCGGAACTACAGGCTCGGGCCCCCAGGCGGGGCGACAGGCATCGGACCCCCAGGCGGGGCGACAGGCATCGGGCCCCCAGGCGGGGCGACAGGCATCGGGCCCCAGGCGGGGCGACAGGCATCGGACCCCCAGGCGGGGCGGCCTCGGGCCCCCAGGCGGGAGCGGCGGGCGCCGGACCCCCAGGCGGAACTACAGGTCTCGGGCCCCCAGGCGGAGCGACAGGCATCGGGCCCCCAGGCGGGGCGACAGGCATCGGGGGCCCCCAGGCGGGGCGACAGGCATCGGGCCCCCAGGCGGGGCGACAGGCATCGGGCCCCCAGGCGGGGCGACAGGCCTCGGACCCCCAGGCGGGGCGGCGGGCGCCGGACCCCCAGGCGGAACGACAGGCTCGGGCCCCAGGGAGCGGGCATCGGACCTTCAGGCCCTCAGGCGACAGGGGCATCGGACCCCCAGGCGGGGGCGGACAGGGGGCAGGCATCGGACCCCCAGGCGGGGCGGCGGGCATCGGACCCCCAGGGGGGGCGACAGGCATCGGGCCCCAGGCGGGGCGGCGGGGCGGGCCCCCAGGCGGCGGCGGGCCCCCCAGGCGGAGCGGCGGGCGCCGGGCCCCCAGGCGGAGCGCGGCGGGCGCCGGACCCCCAGGCGGAGCGACAGGTCTCGGGCCCTCAGGCGGAGCGGCGGGCGCCGGACCCCCAGATGGAGCGACAGGTCTCGGGCCCTCAGGCGGAGCAACAGGTCTCGGGCCCCCAGACGAAGCGGCGGGCACCAGGGCACCGTCACGGACAGGCGGGCACCGACGTGGGGCACCGAGTCGTCTGGCAAGGTCTGCGGGCACCGAGTCAGCGGAACAGCGGGCATCGAGTCAACTGGCGGAACAGCGGGCACCGAGTCGTCTGGCAAGACTGCGGGCACCGAGTCGTCTGGCAAGACTGCTGGGGCACCGAGTCGTCTGGCAAGACTGCGGGCACCGAGTCGTCTGGCAAGACTGCGGGCACCGAGTCGTCTGGCGGAGACAGCGGGCACCGGGCACGAGTCGTCTGGCAAGACTGCGGGCACCGAGTCAACTGGCGGAACAGCGGGCATCGAGTCAACTGGCGGACTGCGGGCACCGAGTCGTCTGGCAAGACTGCGGGCACCGAGTCGTCTGGCAAGACTGCGGGCACCGAGTCGTCTGGCAAGACTGCGGGCACCGAGTCGTCTGGCAAGACTGCGGGCACCGAGTCGTCTGGCAAGACAGCGGGCACCGAGTCGTCTGGCAAGACTGCGGGCACCGAGTCGTCTGGCAAACAGCGGGCACCGAGTCGTCTGGCAAGACTGCGGGCACCGAGTCGTCTGGCAAGACAGCGGGGGCACCGAGTCAACTGGCGGAACAGCGGGCACCGAGTCGTCTGGCAAGACTGCGGGCACCGAGTCGTCTGGCAAGACTGCGGGCACCGAGTCGTCTGGCAAGACTGCGGGCACCGAGTCGTCTGGCAAGACTGCGGGCACCGAGTCGTCTGGCAAGACTGCGGGCACCGAGTCGTCTGGCAAGACTGGCGGGCACCGAGTCAACTGGCGGAACACTGGGCATCGAGTCAACTGGCGGAACAGCGGGGCACCGAGTCGTCTGGCAAGACTGCGGGCACCGAGTCGTCTGGCAAGACTGCGGGCACCGAGTCGTCTGGCAAGACTGCGGGCACCGAGTCGTCTGGCAAGACTGCAACCGAGTCGTCTGGGAAGACTGCGGGCACCGAGTCGTCTGGCAAGACTGCGGGCACCGAGTCGTCTGGCAAGACTGCGGGCACCGAGTCGTCTGGCAAGACTGCGGGCACCGAGTCGTCTGGCAAGACTGCGGGCACCGAGTCGTCTGGCAAGACTGCGGGCACCGAGTCGTCTGGCAAGACTGCGGGCACCGAGTCGTCTGGCAAGACTGCGGGCACCGAGTCGTCTGGCAGAACAGCGGGGCACCGAGTCGTCTGGCAAGACAGTGGGCACCGAGTCAACAGGCACGACAGTGGGCACCGGGTCATCAGGTATCGGGGCACCGGGTGTCTGGCTCGATTGTCTGGCAGACAGGGGCATCGGGTCACCAGGTATGACAGCGGGCACTGGGTCACCAGGCATCAGGTCCATTTGGCTTGCCAGCGGGCACCGCGTCATCTGGCAAGGCAGTGGGCACCGGGTCACCAGGTATGACAGCGGGCTCTGAGTCAATTGGCACGACAGCGGGCACTGGATCAGGTACCGGATCATCTGGATCAACAGCGGGCATCGAGTCAACTGGGCCTAATAGGAGGATCGTCGGGCTGGATCAGTTCATCATGCTGAGTAGCGGCATCAGGCTGAGTAGCAGGCATCAGGCTGAGGAGAGGCTTCAGGCTGAGGAGAGGCTTCAGGCTGAGAGAGCTTCAGGCTTCAGGCTGAGAGCATCAGGCTGAGGAGAGGCATCAGGCTGAGGAGAGGCATCAGGCTGAGGAGAGGCATCCGGCTGAGGAGAGGGCATCCGGCTGAGGAGAGGCATCCGGCTGAGGAGAGGCATCCGGCTGAGAGAGGCATCAGGCTGAGGAGAGGCATCAGGCTGAGTAGAGGGCATCAGGCTGAGAGAGGCATCCGGCTGAAGAGAGGCATCCGGCTGAGAGAGGCATCCGGCTGAGTAGAGGCTTCAGGCTGAGTCACGGAAGGCAGGTTCACCGGTTTGGATACTGGCAGGATGGTATTGGTTGGAAAGAATTTTCGCTTTTTTCTGGTTTTAACTACTGGAGCACTGCAAGTAAACGCAGGTCTGCAAACGAATGGAGCAGCTGGAGACAGAGAAAAAACTGGAGGATGGAACAGGAGAGGGAGCAGTTGCTACAGAGGGCTTTTTTACAGGGTTAAAGGCAGGATAGGTGCAGCGAGTGGGAACAGGGTACTGACATGCGGTAGATAGCCAAGTATACTGGGCTGTAACTGGAGGAGCTGGTGGGAATACAGGAGTAGAGAGTTAGAAGCAGGACTGGGTTTTTGTAAGCTGACTGAGGCTGGGTGCAACAAGTCTGTCCATGTCTGCAGTAGGGGTTGAACAAAGCTGAGCTTACACAAAGCCTGTCTGGTCAATGACTGCACTGCGTTTATACAATCTCTTAGTGTCTGTGGTGAACATGTGGAATAACGCGCTCAGAAAGTAACCCACATCATCCTCTAATAACCACACCAGGGACTCAACCTGGTCTGCACTAAATGGTGGCAAAAATTCATCCCTGCATTCGGGGGAACCAGATGAAACCAACTCAACACAAACCTGAATCAATGGCTGCACCATAGAGAAATCTGTGCCCTGATCTACTAGAACATGAGCGAGCCGTATACATTCTAGCAGTTCATCCCGGGGATACTCCTTCAGAGTCTGATAAGCATACTCTCTGTCATCAAGCACTAGCAGAGATAAATACTCAACCTCATCCAGATCCATCCTTCCCATCAACAAGCCAAGATGGCTTCCCTGTGCAGCCACTTCTGGTCAGGATTGGCCTTGGTGTAATGTCAGGGCTCCCAGGTGTGACCAGAGATGTGTGACTGACGCAGGGAAACGCAGACCTCAGATATGTTATAAACAATATAATTTATTAACACTAACAATACAAACATAAACGCAGTGCAATACTAAAACATAATAGTGCAAACAAACCAAACCAAACCACCACAGATAACAGTACATACAAGCAAGCGTCGTCAGGCAGGCCGGGTCAATATCAATAGGGCAGGTAGGTACAGGGGGAGCAAGCGGAGATTGGTCAGGGTCACAAGCCAGGGATCAGAACAGGTAGCAAGCAGCGTGGTACAGAGGGTCAGACAGAGGGATGGTCAGGAGCGAGCCGGGATCAGAGCAGGAGAAGTCAGCAGCGGTTCAGAAACAGGATGCAGGAAGAAACAGGATGCAGGACAGAAACAGGATGCAGGACAGAAACAGGATGCAGGGCCCAGGACAAACACACACCAAGGCAGAGTCTGTGGGTCTGGCCATCCCTTAAATACCCCAGCATAATCAGTTACAGGTGTTAGCTGGCTGCAAAGTTGAGTCTCTGATTGCTGGGAACACCATGCTTTGCATTGCACTTGGTGATGTAAGGCTTGCATACAACTGCTCGGCCATGAAAACCCATTTCATGAAGCCGCACAAAGTTTGAAGCCACATGAAGTATTAGAGGTCTTTAGCTATTGACTCTGCAGACAGTTGGCAACTTCTGCGCACTGTGTGCTTTAGCTTGCTCTGACCCCGCTCTGTCATTTTACGTGGCCTACCACTTCATAGCGGAGTTTCTGCTGTTCCCAGTTGCTTCCACTTTGTGATAATACCACTAACAGTTGACCATTGAATATTTAGTAGCAAGGACATTTCACGGATGGACGTATTGCACAGGTGGCAATCTATCTCTGTACCACGTTAGAATTCACTGAGGTCCTGAGAGCGACCCATTCTTTCAAAATTGTTTGTAGAAGCAGTCTGCATGCCTAGATGCTTGATTTTATACACCTGTGGCCATGGAGGTGATTGAAACAGCTAAATCCAATGATTTGGCAATACGTTTGGCAATATAGTGTATACTGTAACTGCAGATTATATTTTCTGCATCACCAAAGTTTTCAATTTGTATTATATTTGAGGGATTTTTATTCATTTAAAATTTACTTAAAAATGAAACGTAATTTTTAATATTAATACAATATTTAGCTTTTGCTTCCATTACATTTACAAAATAAAACACACTGGACCACAAAGACTATGCAAAGTAAACATTTTACAGTTTCAAATGCATGTGTTGCAAAGCCCCCTGGGGTTCTTGGCTGAAAACATCTGTTAATAAAAAAGTGCTTATTTAACAAATAGTAAATGTGCAAACTTTGTACACAGATAAGGTCACAGCAAAAACTTTCTCCATGCAACTGGTCAGCTACCGCTAGTGATTACCTTAATGTCAAAAAGCAGTATCCTAGTACTGTAATGTAGCAAAGAACTTCTTACCTATCCACTGAGTAGGACTGACAATAAAGCATGCTAGACATGCAAATAGGCATTAATGCTAAAGTGATGCCAGCTCTAGGACCCATCACCCCTCTAAACAGGCATTGGCCACATAGATTGGCAATGGGTGAATATGTGTAAACATTGGTCATTTGGTATTTTTAATCTGCCCCATTCAGGCATCATTACAGTGGTATACTGGTGTTAAGTCGATATACCATAAATCATCTTCCATTTAGACAATACAGTAACTTGACTGGGGCTACCTATAAGAAACCTATTCAGGTTATTGGGAAACTCATCTGGGTCAGGAAGTGATAGCTGATAGACATGTGTACGCCAGAAATTTTGTTTTAGAAATTTGTTTCAAATCTTCGGCATTCATTTTGTATATTTGTTTGGTCTGAGTAGATTGAAAAATTTTGCATTTTTTTTTCCAGAAGATTGAAATTTTTTTGATATATTATTAAATCAGATGGATTTGAATCAGAAGGATTCAATATTTTTATGGAAACTAATCCAACCCACCAAGAGAAAAAACGTGAGCTGATTGGACAATATCAACTAGCGCCATGTGCATCCGAATTAATGAATGGAATGAAATTCAGATCCATTAGTTATCTGAATCTGAATTATTGAACAAATTTAAAAATTTTATTTATTTCCCCGTGGGCCTGAATTACTATGGTATCATGTGACATCATCCAAATGAAACAAATGCATTGTTTAATTTCGTTATAATGTTCTTTCGGATTCATTGATATTAGTTATTTTGAAATTTACTTCCAATAAACAAACCATAACAAAACAAAATGTCTAATAGCTGACTGCTTCTCCTATAACAGTATCTGTGGTCTAAGTAAGGTGCAGACCTTTAGTGACACTTTGGGGAACCTTGTTATACACAAGCAGGGGATTTTGCTGAATGTATTATTGGAATATTACATTTTTTCTGTTTTTGATATGTTGCACAGTGGTAAAATGTTTTATATTTTATTGCGGGTGTTGAACTGCTACTGTGGCAATTAACAATAAAGTATTATATTTTATTATATTTTGCCAAATCTTCCTCTGTGTTCTTAATTTTTATCTTTAACTCAGAATTGAAGCGCCAGGTGTATTTTTAGATCATTAATACTTCCAAAAACATTCCCTGGTGACAGTACTGTTAAAAAATGAAAACATTTAAAAATTGGTAAAGTGGTTGTAAAGTCACATAGCTCAGTTACTGGTATCCCCTCTGTTGCAGTATGTGTGGGTTTTTCTTAAATTATTATGCTAAATACAGCACTGTTGTGTGATCACATGATCTCCCTCTGCTCTTATTCCTGATCTAAAGAGAGCAGTGGGAGGGTCTGAGATTTCCTTCTGATGTATGTTGGCCAGCAGATGGAGGTAACATGATCGCACAGCGGCACTGTGCAAGAAGATAGGTAGCATTAGAATTTTAAATAAAAACACATTCTGCAATTAATATCTTGTTACAACAGAAGGGATACCAGTAACTGGGTGACTTTATAGCCACAGTGGAATTAGAGGAGGGGGAGGGAGGGAATCGACTCACACACACAGACTACAGAACTGACAGGCAGGGAGGGAGGGGAAGAGACTCTAAACACAGCAGGATGACGAAGGTGCACAACCTGACCATGGTATCATGGACCAGAAGCCATGATTATTGTGGTCAGTACACCTAGGGGGGCACAGGAACAGTCAGGATCAACCAGGTATTTTACAAGATAGAAAGAGACAACTTACAATGCAAAAGCACTGGGCTGTTTATTATGCTTTAAAGGAACAAGAGCATTTTTTTCTAGGGTTACAACCATTTTAAAGACTAAGTTTACCTAAAGCTGTGTTGTCCTTTCTCTGAAAATTGTTAGGTTCCACAAAAATGAATGCCAGATCCCTAATTCTTAATGAAGAACTGTTATGGATGTTAAGGAGAGCACCATGCAAAAAATGAACAAAAAATGGTGCGGGATCCCCAAAACCTTTACCAGATAGTCAAGATTGGCAGCACGGGAGAGGAAAGATGGGACCAGTATATTATGCTTTAATGTATCCTTGCCTCTTTGAAGGATGCCACTATTTTTTAAACTCTGTTAAATTCCTGTTGGCTTGGCAGTGAGTGTCACAGTCATTTTAGTATTTAAGTCAGAATTATTACTGCAGATACTTTGAATAGTACATGTTTTCTGTTCAAATGGTGGCAGAGGTTGCTTGTGTTTATAAAGGATTAACTGCAGAGTTAATCAACCTCAATGACAATCACTCTCAGC